AAGAAGAAAAAGAAGAAGAAGAAGAAGAATAGGAGGAGGAGGCGGAGAATAGGAGGAGGAGGAGAAGGAGAAGAAGAAGAGGAAGAGGAGGAGAAGGAGGAAGAGGAAGAAGAAGAGGAAGAGGAGGAGAAGGAGGAAGAGGAAGAAGAGGAAGAGGAAGAAGAAGAAAGAAGAGGAAGAAGAAGAAGGAGGAGGAGGAGCAGGAAGAGGAGGAGGGAAGAAAGGAAGGAAGACAGACAGACAGACAGACAGACAGACAGACAGGCACTACAGTGACTGTCTAGGACAGATCCCCTTTTGGGGGTCCTATACCTTGAGTTCTACTTCTGGGAAAACCCAAGCCCTCAAAGGCTCCCCCTACTTAGAGCCTCTCTGAGGTTTCAGGACAAATGCAAGGTGGCACTTGTGGTCTCTGCTTCGGTGCCCGGATCTGTGCCTCTTGGCTTGCCTCTCTGAGGCAGATCAGAGCAGCGATTTGATCATTAACATTGACATACCAGCTTAACAGGAGCGAGAACTGCACAACGAATCAGTAAGGTTCTGAGAGTCTACATGCTGAGTGTGTGGGCCAGTAAACTGGGGGAGGGACAGCTCTCCCCCAGATGTCCCCGGCATCAACCAATAGGCTAGGAGCCTGGACGGAATGAAAAGGGAAAGGAGGAGGAAGCTTTCTTTTCAGAGGAGCTCCAATCTTAGCCATTGTCACTGGACACCAGTCCCCAGTTTCTTCAGCTTTGCGATGCAGACTCACACCGGTGACTCCTTGGTGGGCTTCCAGGCCTTAGACCTTTGGCTGCCACTAGATCCTCGGCTGGCCACAGCAGTGGTGGATCCTCCCACCTCTGGTCCTCTGAGCTTATCTAATAAATCCCTACCTGTTGACTCTCTTCATCTAGAGAACCTCATCGAGGATAACAGCAGCACCTCAAGCTTGGGTCCTCGGAGCCACAGACGCGAAGGACCCCAGCACACAGAGAAAGAGGCAACATGTGGGGTGGACGCCCACTGCTGGTTGCGTCCCCACCACACCCAGCTGCCTCAGCCCCACCTAGACGGAGGGAAAGCGAGTAAAGAACCTGGAGCTGAACTGTGCCAAGACCCCCAGAGTCCGCCAACTGTCTCTGGTCTCCTTTCAAAGCACACAGTTCTCACTGGTGGGTGCAAGGAAACCATGTAGAGAAGAAAAAAGGGACAGGATAGAGAGTGGGAAGGAGGCAGCACCGCGCTCGAGGAAGTCACCCTGACACCACCCATCCTGGGGAGCTCTGCCAGGCTCTCTGCACCCTGGTGGACGGCTCTGCCACATGTCCTGACCAAACAGCCCTGGATTCTGCTTCTATTGCCTTCCTCTAAGCCCCTGATTGGGTGGTCTCTATCCAAGACCCTCTGTGCACAACCTTTACAAGTGCAGCAAAGATAGCAAGGGGAGAATGACAAGCCCAGGGTCACGACCCCCGAGACAGGCGGGAACAGGATGAGTAGGAGCAGCTTCTAAATTATCCATCAGCACAAGCCGTCACGGCCCTATGCATAAACATAGGGAGAAACAGGCAGCAGCCTTGTGGCGGGGGCGAAGGGGCAGGATATAAAAAGGGCCCACAAAGGACCCACTCCAGGATCCCGAAGTCCAGCTCTCCAGGCGTATCAGGGTCCTGTGGACAGCATTCCCGGCTGCAATGGCTCCAGGTGAGTGCCCCAAAGTCCCTTTGGGCATGGTGTGGGCCCAGAGGAGGCGTCGGGCCCTGCAATGGGACGGGGAGACTAACCCTGGGGTTGGGGTCTCTGCATGCGAGCATAACCTCTAAACCAAGCCGCGCTCACAACTTCTCAGTGCTTAGGAGTGGTGGGGAGAAGGCGCTGCCCCTACCCCCAGGCTCCCCGTCCTTTGTCTCTGCCTAGGCTCTCGGGCCACCCGGCTCCCGGTCTTTGTCCTGCTCTGCCTGCTCTGGCCTCCGGTCGGCGCCTTCCCGGCCATGCCTCTGGCCAACCTGTTCAGTAATGCAGTGCTCCGAGCCCAGCACCTGCACCAGCTGGCTGCTGACACCTACAAGGAATTCGTAAGCTCCCTGAGGCTGGGTCACTGAGAGGAAAGCGGGGGTTCAGGGTTCATGCAAGTGAGGTGTGGCTCCCCAGCAAGGGAGCTAGGAAGGCCGCTCACCAGCCTGGGCCTAAGGCATGGTGGTGGGGCTTCCCCAGGAGCGGGCCTACATCCCAGAGGGACAGCGCTACTCCACCCAGAATGCCCAGGCCGCCTTCTGCTTCTCGGAGACTATCCCAGCCCCAACGGGCAAGGAAGAGGCCCAGCAGAGATCGGTGAGTGGCCACCCAGGCTCTTTGAAAACGGACACAGTCCGGCAGCACAAGTGTCTGCTTGGCAAGTGCAAGGTCCTAAGTTGCAGTCCCAGTACCAAAAAAAAAAAACAAAAACAAAACAAAAAAAAAACCCTCAACCAGTTCTCCCTTCCCTTCCGCCCCAGACTCGGTGATGTGGGACCCAAGCAGGTCCCTGGCTGTGCGCCACCTCCCGGTCTCTGTCCACAGGACATGGAGCTGCTGCGCTTCTCTCTGCTCCTCATCCAGTCGTGGCTGGCACCCGTCCAGTTCCTCAGCAGGGTCTTCACCAACAGCCTGGTGTTCGGCACCTCTGACCGGGTCTACGAGAAACTGAAAGATCTGGAGGAGGGCATCCAGGCACTGATGCGGGTAAGTGTGCCCCAGCACCCCTGGGGTGGTGCTCTAGGCCCCCAAAGAGAGAAGGGACGGCAGATCGGAGTGTGGCCCAGGCTCCCGGGAGCTTGACCTCTCCTGCCATCTTCCCCCTGTACAGGAGCTGGAGGATGGCAGCCCCCGGGCCGGGCAGGTCCTTAAGCAGACCTATGACAAGTTTGACACCAACTTCCGTAGCAGCGACTCGCTGCTCAAGAACTACGGGCTGCTCTCCTGCTTCCGAAAGGATCTGCACAAGACCGAGACCTACCTGCGGGTCATGAAGTGTCGCCGCTTTGCAGAAAGCAGCTGTGCCTTCTAGGGGCCTGTGCCTCTGCCCTCCACCCAGCACCTCCCCTCGCCTGGGAAGCGCCCTTGCAGTGCCCACTGTCCTTGTCCCAATAAAACAGAGTTGCATCCTATTATCTGACTAGATGTCTTTCTGTTCTGGGCTGGAGATGGGGGTTGTTGTGGGGGGAAGGCAGACAACTGACAAACTGACAGGGGTCCCAGTTTCGGGATCATCACTGGCTAGCAAGGTCATAGGTCACCCCAAAAAGTACTAGAGCCCTGTCTCACTCTCCTACCAACACCAACAAAGTCAAACTCAGCTCCCTTAGGGTGGGAAGAAACGAAAACAGGGCAGGCTATTAAATGAAGAAACAAAATGGCCCCCAATGAGAAATTATGGGGGGCATCACAGAATGTCCTCTGCACATAAAATTGTAAGCTAACTAACCATCAGATCCAACTACCCACAGGAATTGAGATGATTGCAAGAAGCGAACAGAGCCAGCATGTTTGGAAACCATGATGGGCACAGGAAGTGGGAGAGAAAGTCTAAACTGGGGGCTGAAAATCCTGGGCCAAGTCAGTAACTAGCAAGGGATGAAGGCGGAGCAGGAAGGGAAACACTCAATCGGCCCCCAGCGTCCTCGGAGGGGCCCCGCGGAGGATGGAGCCGCAGAGGGCGAGGGCGGCTGGCCAGCCTTGTGCCACGCCTGCCTGCGGGAAGAGGGTTGTCAGCCTTCCGTCCTGCAGGTCCTGGGACCTCCTGAGGCTTTTAAAATTCATTTATTAGGTTGGGAAAGTAGCTCCACAGTTTAAGCTCCTGCCTGGCAAGTACAAGGTCCCATGTTCAAGCCACACTACCAAAAAATATTTTTTTTTTGCAACATCTAATATTTATAACCTTATTTTTTTATTTTATTTTATTTTTTTTTTGTGGAACTGGGGATTGAACTCAGGCCCTTGCGGTTGCCAGGGAAGCGCTTATTCCACTGAACCATCTCCCCATCTCCCAAAATCTAATATTTAAATATTGGCTGCTAATACATATTGAAAACATTTTAAGGGCAATAAATGAACTCAAACACATCTTGAACAAATTACTGAAGAGCCTTGAGATAATAATATACAGCTTTACAAGCTTATACAAGGGTTAAGTGAAATTGTATTTCTTTTTTTGACTGTAGCAGGGGTTGAACTTGGGACCTTGTGCTTGCCAGCAGGTGCTTAAGCCACTGAACTGTCTCCCCAGCCTGTGAAAGTGTATTTCAGGCTCCTGCAATAGTGTTTTTCTGACTCCACAATATTTTTAATTCACTTTAACAAGACAACTATTTCTGAATTCCTTCCATCAGCACTGGCAAAATATGCACAGTGAGTTTAGTCCCTTCATACACATTTGAGAGCAGAGCTGACCCCTTCCTCCCTCGTGCTTCAAAGCCCTCAGAAAGCCCGGGCCTGGGCTCTTCTTACAGCTCCTGTAACATGGAAGTTGCGCGGGAGGAGCAGGGTCAGAGCACTCGCCTAGGACGCGTGGAGCCCTGGGTTTGATCCTCAGTACTGAAAAGAATTAAGTGAAGCTAAATTGAACTACAGAAGGCGGTGATGCAGCTGAGAAACGCTGAGTGACAGTAGCGATCACATCGCTGGCCCCGTTGGCATAAAGCTGTCCCTGTTTTCCACCCAAAGCTTCGAGTCCAAGAATCCTCTAAACAATGTAAACTGAACTACTAAGATTGGTTGTCTGAGCAGGGCAGGGTGGAATGCCTGAAATCGCAGCATTCTGGAGGCCGAGGCAGGAAGACCACTGCCAGCCCGAGCTACATAGCAAAATCCTGTCTCAAAACAAAATAGCCTGAAACGGTTGGGGACAGAGCTCACCACGAAGGTCCTAGATTCACCCCCCAGTACAAAAAAACCAAACCAAACCAAACAAAAAACAATCACCAAGCTAGTACTTCTGAATCCTAAGAAACCAAAAATGAGAGGAAGGAAGAAAAGATTAGACAAGAGGGAAGAAAGAGTGTAATGGGCTGGCTGGGTGCGGTGGCGATGCCTGTGATCCCAGCACTGGGGAGGCTGAGGCAGGAGGATTGTTAGGAGTTCAAGGCCAGCCTGGACTATATAATGAAATCCTGTCACAAAACAAACAAAAGAACATAACAGAAAAAAAAAGAAAAATCGTTTGTGATGACTCTCAAGGGTTGTTATATATTTCTAACTCTTGCGTGTGTCAGCACTAGGGTTATTAGTGTGATAATAAAAAGTTTTTTTGTTTTGTTTTGTTTTGTTTTTTGTCCTTTTGAGACAGGGTCTCACTCTGCAGTTCAGACTGGCCTTGAGCTCACTTTGTAGCCCAGGCTGGTCTAGAACTCTTGACAATCCTCCTGCCTCAGCCTCACAAGTGCTGGGATTACAGGCGTGCAGCACATATGTGCACATCACCAGGCCAACGTTTTCCAAGTACTGTGTCAAGTTTCCTAATATAATTTTATCAGGAAAATATTATTATCTCCTTAATAACAAGATTTGTGCTATCTCAACTCCGGGTCAAAAGATGCCAAAACCTCAGCTTAACTACCCTTAAGATACTTTTGGCGCTTGCCTAGCAAGCACAGGGCCTGAGTTCAATCCCCAGTTCCGCAAAAGAAGAAGAAGAAGAAGAAGAAGAAGAAGAAGAAGAAGAAGAAGAAGAAGAAGAAGAAGAAGAAGAAGAAGAAACTTTTGAAATATTAAAGGTCATTCTTCATCTGGAGATAATCAGGATTAAGCATAAACCAGTAAATCCAGGTACAGTGGTGCACGCTTGCAACTCCTGCACTCTGGAGGCTGAGGCAGGAGGATTGTAAATGCTGGGCAAGCCTGAGGTACATAGCAAGACTCTATCTCAAAACAAAACAAACACTTTGAGGGCCTGGAAACAAGGAAAACTGCTCCCTTTAGCAAAGTTATTATACTGGAAAAGACACATACGGAGAATTCTGGGCTCTATGACTTGGAAAGGCCGGCTGACTGACCGCCGGGTGTGTGGAAGGAAAGGTGGGGAGGGGAAGAGCCTAGAACATAGGTAGTAGGAGGACCAACTGAAAGTATCTGCTGGAGATGGAGCTCCGGGGTAGAGGGGTGCCGAGCCTGTGCAAGGCGTTAGCCCCTCTCTAATCACCTGCACTGAGAAAACAGACAAGAAAAAAAGTAGGGAAGGGCCAGCCAGATAGCTCAGCGGATTAAAGCACCTGCTTAGGCAGGCATAGGGGCCAGGGTTTGATCCCTGGCCTGCCGTGCAGTCCCATCCCGGGGACGCGCTGAGACGGTGATTGAGACTGGGCGTGGTGGCGCACGCCTGCAATCCCAGCGCTTGGGAGGCTGGAAACAGGAGGATCACTATGAGTCCAGTCTATGTAGTGAGACCCTGTAGACCCTGTAGAGCCTGAACTGAATACACAAAAAGAAAGAAAAAGAGAAAAAGTAGGGAGCTACTTCAGAGTGACACTTAATCTTGGGAACCCAACCAAGGAGTTATCCCCAGCTGGGCAGAGCCCTAAGGAAACGGATGGATGGGCCTCCCGCACCTCTTGGTTTGCGGGGACTGCGGGGACTGCGGGGACCACCCGTCCCCGTGGGGGCCGCCTGGCAAAGAGAAACAAAGACAGGCTCGGCCTCCAGCGCCCCCTGCTGGGACGCACGCAGAACAGCTGCGGACTTACGGCGCAACCGGGGCGACCCCGGGTTAGGCTGCTCTGCACTCCGCTCCCTAACGCCTGCTTCCTAACTTACTTTCCCACGCGCTCGCTTTGAGCGGAATACTTTACATTATCATGGGAGAGAGCAGGGGCCTGTGGTGATAGATTTTTCGAGGCTGACAATGTCACTAGGAGCGTGGCGAGTCCTCGAGCGCCGGGCAGGCCTGCGCAAGGTCCCGGGTTGCATCCCAAGACCGAGAAAAAGAAAAGCCCCTGCTGAGCATCCTAAGTGAGAGAAGAAAAGATTTACAAATCAGACAGTGACACCCGAGTATGAAAACTTTAGCCAAGCATTGGCTAAACAACACGGAACAAAATCAAGCAGGGTGGTGGTGGGTGGGGCGTCAAGGACGCGCAGGCAGGGACCCAAGGTCATCGGGGAGAGACTCTGGGGCCAAGGGCTTCACGCGGGAGTCAGACTGGCGCGAAGACTATGCCGCAAGGCCTTTTACGCGAACGCCTTCCTCCTGCTTTAACCCGGAGAAACTAGAGCCTTCCACCTCAGTATTCTGGGAGCGGAGACTGCGCTGAACGTAATCCAAGACAGCAGCAGTGTAGGGGACGCCTCGGACCCCGGGCCGTGAGGGCGGATGCAGGACCGAGGAAGCGGAGCACGAGCCGCAGCTCTCCAGAAGGTGGAGGGGCCGAGCCCGGAGGGGCTCCGCTGCAGAAGACCCCGCGGCCCGGCAGCCGCCAGTGCAAGTCTCAGCGGAGCCCAGGGCCGTGCGCCGGGGCCTGGCAGGTTGGTGCTAGACCCTTGCAGGTGCTCCACAGGGAGCCCAGGGCCGTGCGCCGGGGCCTGGCA